CTTGGTTGCAGGCACAACCCCAGTAGGGAGTGTGCAGGAGGCAGCTGATCAATGTTTCTCTCTCATCAATGTTTTCTCTCTCACTCTCCCTTCCTCTCTGTAAAAAAAAAAAAAAAAAAAAAAAAAAAAATCAATAAAACATATTAAAAAAAAAAAAAAAAAAAAACTGTGAGCCCCAAATGAAGACATTCAACAGAATAAATACTTAGTATAAACTGAATGGTCTCTTAAAAATAGAGGTTTTTTCCAATTACTTTTAAGATATTGAAAACTAGAAATTTTTAGACTTCTTTCTTTCTTGATCGTGCTAAGGCATGCCTTGTCCTGTTACTAATTTTAGAATTTCAGAAAATCCTAGTTTAGTATTCTGCAATACATTTGAAATAAGCAATAGGTGGGGTAACACACACACACACACACACACACACACACCTCAATACAAAAGTTAGACGGGGGAAAAATAAAGTGGGTTATAAAAAGAAACCCAAATTAGAAATCAGGAGACCAAGTTATAAGAATTTTATTATTATACTTCCCTCCAAAGGGCAAGATTTCAGATTCAAATAAGCCATCTTTGTAGCTTTGCCTCAAAACAAACAAACAAAAACAAAAACAAAAACAACTACTTTGGGGAACTTTCCCAAAGGAGCATTTTGGGAAATGTATCTAGTCCACCTGCGTCCCACAAGTGAAATAGATGACACCAAAGCTACCCCTCAAATTGAGATGAAAAGCAGCATTTCCCTCGTATTGCTTTGGCCGTAAAAGGGGAACTTAATCCACGACAAGTCCTGGACGCTGACCTGGGGTGGGGGAGACTCGTTATAAATTAATTACCGCAGACCCACGCTCTCGGCTGGCGCCTGGGAGGGCAGGAACAGAGCCAGGGCGAGTGCCCACCTCCCCCGGGCGGGAGGCTCCAGCCCGCGGCCCCGGGGCGGCGGGGGCATCGGAGGCTCCCGGGCCGGGGCCTGGGACTCCCCTCGGCCTGTGCGTGGCGGCCAGCGGCACACTTACCTCGGCGTCCTCTTTGCACTGCGGGAGCGAGGGGAACTCCAGCTTCACGTCCTCCATGATCCCGGCCGGCGGACTGGCGGGTGGGGTGGGAGTCGAGTGATTCGCCAGCCCGACCGTGGGGCTGGCGGCGGCGGCGGAGGAAGGCGGGCCGGTGCGCCGAGGGCTGGCGGGCGGCAGCGAGCGGCCTTACAACGGACACACGCAGACCACAGGGTCCCGGCGACTCCGGCGGCGGCGGCGGCGACAGAGGGGCAGCGGAGGGCTGGGCGGCTCATCCCCGGCCGCCATGCTGTTGCGGTTTCCCTCCCCCGGAGTGCTCGCGCCCCACGGGCCGCCCAGACTTGGGCACCACCACGAGCCCCACAACCGTCTTCCCGTTTCCTCCGCCCCGCCCCGCCCCGCCCCAGCCAATCCTGGCGCACGCTCGCCTTCGGCCCGCCCCCCGCGGCCGCCAGGTGTCAACGCGCCGCCCCGTCCCTTCGCGCCGGCGCAGCCGCAGGGGGCGGGGCTTCGGAGGGCCCGTGCGGAGCTCACCGGGCGCGGAGGAGGCGGGGCTGCGGCAGGAGGGCGGGGACAGCTGAAGGTCCTGGGAAAGGCAGGAGGACCATCCACACCAGCAGGGCTCTTTCCAGACAGGAGCAAATCTCTCCTTTGGTATAAGAATGGCCAAGCCGAAACCGGTTTGGCTCAGTGGATAGAGCGTCAGCCTGCGGACTGAAAGGTCCCAGGTTCGATTCCGGTCAAGGGCATGTACCTTGGTTGCAGGTACATCTGAAAGGTCCCAGGTTCGATTCCGGTCAAGGGCATGTACCTTGGTTGCAGGTACATCCCCAGTAGGGGGTGTGCAAGAGGCAGCTGATCTATGTTTCTCTCTCATCGGTTTCTAACTCTCTATCTCTCTCTCTTCCTCTCAGTGAAAAATCAATAAAATATATTAAAAAGAAAAAGAAAATGGCCAATACATCCCAGCCACCAGTAGCTGAATCCGAAAGGAAAACCGTAGTTTCCACCGAAACCGGTTTGGCTCAGTGGATAGAGAGCGTCGGCTTGGGGACTGAAGGGACCCGGGTTCGATTCCGGTCAAGGGCATGTACCTTGGTTGCGGGCATATCCCCAGTGGGGGATGTGCAAGAGGCAGCGGATCGATGACTCTCTTTCATCGATGTTTCTAGCTCTCTATCTCTCTCCCTTCCTCTTTGTACAAAATCAATAAAATATATTAAAAAAAAAGGAAGAAGAAAGAAAAGAAAACCATAGTTTCCCCCTTCTCAGAATCCTGCACAATTTGTGGTGAGGTTATAACCAGGAGTAATGAGGAAAGCCTTCATCCTAAAATTATGCTACACAAAAAAATGAAACACCCATCACTCTTAAGCAAATTGAAATGGTGGGCTTAGGTATATGACAACTAGAAAAGCTCAAGAAAAGGCAAAAGGAAAAAAATCGTAAGAAATGGAATTGGTAACTCAGTAAATTGTACATAATACTGTGCTCGCTTCGGCAGCACATATACAAGAATTGTACATAATACTGAAGAAAGGTCTCTCCCTTTAATTTGAAGTGTATGAATATTTCAAATGATGATAAACTAGATGGCTTGCGATATCTTTTAAAAAGGACTTGGGGTGCTGAAACCGGTTTGGCTCAGTGGATAGAGCAGGATAGTCTAAGGTTTGTAGACTGAAAGGTCCCAGGTTCAATTCTGGTCAAGGGCATGTACCTTGGTTGCAGGGACGTCCTCAGAGGGGGGTGTGCAGGAAGCAGCTGATCGATGTTTCTCTCTCATTGATGTTTCTCTCTATCCCTCTCTGTAAAAAATCAATAAAATATATCTTAAAAAATAAATAAAAAGGACTCAGAGTAAATACTATATTGTTAATAAATATTAGGTATATGATGTTCTCTGTGGACATAGGGAGATATTGTTATCCTTTTTGTATTTAAACAGTTGAGGAAAATCAAGCTTAGAAGAACACACACTTAAATATTTAAGGTTTGTATACCAAACTGATTCCTGAAAAAACAACCACCACCAAAGTAAAAAAGAAAGTCATTTATTAAATTGCAAATTACAATGGATAAAGTAAAAAAAAAAATCACATGGATCTTTGCCCTAGACCCACCAACACAAATATCCTATTACTTTTTATACTGTCATATTTATGAAACACAGTCAATATAGACAGAAATGGAACTGTTCGATAGTTTTGAGTTTTAGATGGCTAGCTTCAGCAACCCATTTTTTCCCTACTATGTAATGTTTTCTTTTAAAGTTATAAAAAGGCATACAATACACTGCTAATTTTGTTTGTATTAATCCTCACCAGAGGATATTTTTTTCCATTGGTTTTTAAAGTGGAAGGGAGGGAAAAAGAAGGAAGGAGGGAAGGGGAGGGAGGGAAGAAGGGAAGGGGAAGGAGAGAGGGAGAGAAAGGTAAGGGGGGAGGTGGAGGGAAAGGGAAGGAGGAAAGGGGAAGAAGGGAGAAATATGAGACACATCCAGGGAGGGAGGAATATAAGACACATCCAGTGGCTGCCTCTCAAATTTGCCCAACTAGGCAAGAATTGAACCTACAATCCAGGTTCTTGCCCTTGACCAATAATCAAACCCAAGACCTTTCAGTGCCCAAGCCAAAGCTCTGAACCTTTAGCCACACCGGCCTGGGCTCTGTTAGTAAGTTTTTAATTTGAAGAATGATTGTATAACTAATTACCCAGGTCATTTTTTTTTTCGTGTTCATGAAACTGAAGCCAAGTTTCTTTTTTTTTTTTTTTTTAACAACTTTAGTAAGATAATCTTAATGCCCGATGATGATTTCCTATTGTAATGTTAAATCTTTGTCACATGATATGAGAAAGAACTGTGTATAGGTAATAGAACTTTCATTCTGAACACTTCTGACATTAACATCCCCTACATCAGACACTCAGCCTGATATCCACATACCTATGGAGTCCATGAACGAACTCGGGAAAAATAAATCTTAAGTTGTAGCATGCACAAAATTATGTATACTTATGTGCCAACTTTTCTGGGAAGAGGGCCCAGACTGTAACATCCTCAAAAAGGGAGCTATCTTCTCATATAACCTAAGAAAACCAAGTCATGTTTATTAGCAAATTATTACTTTCAATTATAATCTACAAGGTTATGGATGTGCTTGTTCTATTTCAATTAACTATTCTAGAGCCTAGTTACAGTAGGTGAAAATTAAAGATTTTTTGAAAGGAGGTATATAGACATGAAACACAGTAAGATGCTGTTATGAAAACAGCGTGGATACTGTTTTGAAATAAAATTAAAAAGCCAACAATCTAAATCAGGGGCAGGGAATGTCTGGCCCGCCGGCCTTATTTGGTCTGGCCCTGCCAAGGAATTAGGGATGAGTTAATTAAATATTTGGCCAAATTAACAATTAATTTTTAAGTTGATAATTTTATATGGCCTGGGAATGATGTTTTAAATATCGAAATGGTCCTTAAAAGGGAAAAAAAAGGTTCCCCATCCCTGACCTAAATACAACTTTATCTTGGGTTATTAAGTAGTTTACTTACTAAAGAACCTTACTATAATAAATAAAGAACCTATAGTAAATGTACTCTTATAAAAGACAAAAATATATGTAGAACTGAATCAAACAGATTTTATTCAGCTTTTTAGGATGAAGAAAATAAATGATATAAAATAAGTCACTACTATCTCAAAACCATTTTCAACGTTTTACAAAATGCTCACACAACAAATATGAAAAGTTATAACACACTCCTTTAACTTCTGCTGCAATAAATGCAACATTAACAAACATACAAATTTCTTCTGTACCAATCTTAAAAGTACAAATACTGAGTTACTAATTTTTGTTATTCACATATATTTTTATTCATGACTTTGAATGAGATCATTGCCAATACATACATTATTTTTCTTTATTTTTACATTAAGTCAATGTCTGTCATGCAGCCATCAAAATCCTCACAATAAATTACACAGGTTTGTAGTCTAATTTTGACTCTAGCTTCTTAGAATCAGCCACTTTTCTGACTGCTTTCATGAAGTCTTCCTGTACTACAAAATCATGATCAGCACGAATTGCAAACATACCTGTGGGAAATAAAATAACATGACTGCTTTATATAATATGTGAATTATCCTATTTAATAAAAAGAGTAATATGCAAATTGACCATCATTCCAACACACAACATGGCCGCCCCCATATGGTCAAAGATGGCAGCCCCCATGTGGACACAAGATGGCCACCGTAAGATGGCCAGCAGGGGAGAGCAATTGGGAGGGACCAGGCCTGCAAGTGAGAGTAGTTGGGGGCAATCAGGCCTTTAGGGAAGGACAGTTGGGGGGGATGAGAGGAACCAGGCCTATAGGGGATGACAGTTGAGGGAGACCCAGGCCTGTAAGGGAGGACAGTTGGAAGTGACTGGACCTGCAGGGGAGGGCAGTTGAGGGACCAGGCTGGCAAGGGAGGACAGTTAGGGATGACCAGGCCAGCAGGGTTGGCAGTTGGGAGGGACCAGCCAGCAGGAGAGGATAGTTGGGAGGGACAGGCCTGCAGGGAAAGTCAGTTGGGGGTGACCAGGCCAGCAAGGGAGAAAAGTTAGGGGTGACCAGGTGGCAAGGGAGGGCAGTTAGGGGCAATCAGGTCAGCAGAGGATCAGTTAGGCGTTGATCAGGCTGGCAGAGGAGTGGTTAGGGGTGATCAGGCTGGGAGGCAGGTGAGCAGTTGGGAGCCAGCAGTCCTAGATTGTGAGAGGGATGTCCAACATCCCTCAAGGAGCCCTAGATTGGAAAGTGTGCAAGCTGGCTGAGGGACACTACCTCCCCTCCCTATGCACAAATTTCGTGCACTGGGCCTCTAGTCCTATATAATAAAAGCCTAATGGGCAATTGACCAAACAGCAGAATGACTGGAGGAATGACTGTTCGCTATGATATGCACTGACCACCAGGGGGCAGACCCTCAATGCAGGAGCTCCCCCCAGCCCACAGGTCCCAGGCCAGCCATGGCAGGTGACAGTGGGGGGGCCTCCTCCCCTGACCACCCCCCAGAGGAAGGTGACCAGTGGCAGTGGTGAGGCTGGTGAGCAGGCAGCTCCAGACTGGCCAACGTGGGTGCCAGCAGGGGCCCCCAAATTGCCCCACTGGTCACTCTGCAGATCGGCCCTGATCACTAGCCAGGCCTAGGGACCTTACGCACGCATGAATTTCATGCACTAGGCCTCTAGTTTATTATAAGAAAATTAAATAATGTAATTCTATGGAGTAAAACTGAAGGAGCCTTGATTTACTACTTCTGAATAAGCAGTTGATTTGTTAAAAATCACTATCACTGTTCAATGAATTTCCAGCTCTTGTGAACATTATTTTCCAAATCAAAAGTTAGAAAGTAAGATAATTATCTGAATATTTAAAAACCAAATCACACAACCCCTGCATCCAATGGCATCTTAAAAAAAATCAAAACAGCCCTCACCGGTTTGGGTCAGTGGATAGAGCTTTGGCCTGCAGACTCAAGGGTCCCAGGTTCGATTCTGGTCAAGGGCATGTACCTTGGTTGCAGGCACATCCCTAGTAGGTGTGCAATAGGCGATGTTTCTCTCTCATTGATGTTTTTAACTCTCTATCCCTCTCCCTTCCTCTCTGTAAAAAAAAATTAAAAAAAAAATAAAATAAAAAAATAAAAATAAATAAATTATATTTTAAAAAAAAGAAAAAGAAAAAAATCAAAACAAAATCCTGCCGGAAACTGATCATTGTCCCACTAATAGAGAGATGTGGACAGGGAACCTGGAAGGCTGGTCAACCTTTAAGCTCTGAAAGGTCAGAGTCAACTACTTTCTATCTAATTAAGACAATCATAACTGAGGCAACTTCCCCACCAAATAGTCATGTAAGATAATCTGCCTGTTACTGGAATTACCTGTCTAAGGGCAATAGGTGTATCCCAAACCTAAATAAAGGGGATGGCAAGGCCAAAGTTAGGCGGCAGTCCTCCCACTAGAGGTAGGCTCCCGCCTGGCCCCCAATACTCCCAAATTAATACTTTTCTAGTCTTTTTCATTGTGTGCAGCCTTCTCCAGAACTCGAACCGAAACCCTGAACCACGCAGGATGTGAAAGGGATTTCCACAAAATCAACTATAAACAAAGCATACACATTTTAAACATCAGTTTCTTAATTCTACAAGTAGCAATTCCTTAGAAGGAACTAACCCATGTATGGTTTGGGAAAGCACAAAACACCTCCAGTAATTCTGATAGCCCTGACTTGTTAATAATCAAAAGGTTAGAGAATAGAAATTTTTAGAAAGTGAACAGTATGCTTTAACAAAACTCAATGCCATTATTCATGTATTAAAATTACCCTAATTATATACAAATTGATATTGTGACTTCCCTATTCAAGTATCATAATTCAATCTTTTCCTTCAAGTTTTTGACAAGTTATTTGTCAAATAATAATTGACAAAGCGGTAAAAGTTTTTTGTTTGTGTTTTTCTTTTTAACATTATGTAGTTGTATCATGGATCCCAGGTTTTGAGAGGATCCTAATTTCATAAGCTAAAGCCAATTAGGTATCCTTAGTTTACTAATTAAGTGAATCCTACTAATATTTTCATTGAGGATCTGCTTATATTGAATTTTCACTCATGTAAAATGAGTGGGTTTCAATAGAAGATTTCAAGGGTTAATTCCTATCATCTTCCCTTTCAAGATTTCTAATTACAAGGTGTCTTGAAAATAGCTACTCTATGTTGTCTTCAGAAATCAGGTGAGTAGAAATAACTTATTTTTTTTAATACTAAAGTTTTAAAACTTGTCTAGAAGGCTACAACTAAATTAAGCAAGTTATTTTTCCAAACCTTGTGAATCCAAATCATTGTTTAGTAAATGAGTCAATCTGAGATACTGAATATAGTATATTTTAACCTACAGGAAGATATGTTAACAAAAATACTCCAAAGAGCCAAAACCGGTTTGGCTCAGTGGCTAAAGCATCCGTCTGCAGACTTAAAGGTCCCAGGTTCGATTCCGGTCAAGGGCATGTACCTTGGTTGAGGACACATCCCCAGAAGGAGGTGTGCAGGAGGCAGCTGATTGATGTTTCTCTCTCATCGATGTTTCTAGCTCTCTATTCCTCTCCCTTCCTCTCTGTAATAACACAATAAAAATATATTTAAAAAAAAAATACTCCAAAAAATTTCAATATGTCTCCAGATATGAATGTTCCACCGTTAAAAAGCTAAAAGCTTTGTTAGAAATAGTTAAAAATCATTCTGTTATATATGTTGAAAAAATGGAGATCATCATAATTTGATGGAATCAGCCTTTAAAATTATGACATTCCCAAGGACAAATCTCATGCAATGGGGGATGAGACTTTTGTTTGGATTCCATTTTAACTAAAGCAATCTTTTGATAATTTGGTCAGTGGAGATTTTGGAAAGAGAATGTCATAAGTTACTTCAAGTAGTTCATACCACATGATAGTTTACCTCTTAAATATTATGTTTGTTCATTATTAAGTCTTTGTGAGCATGATTTATTCTGATTCATACTGAGTTTCTAGATCTGAAGATGTCTAATTCAGATACAGAGTCAAGTATACCCACAAAGATACTCCTATGGAAAAGCCATGCCTTTAAATACTGTGTGAATTTATAAGAAATGTTAAAATAAGGCCAAAGGTGATATGGAAAAAGAGAAAAATCACATATTGTAACACTTATCACAGAAATCATTTTTTTTTTTTTTTTTTGTGGAGGACAAAGACCAACTGACTCTTATATAGGGTTTTAAAGCCACTTAGTACCAGAAATAAAAAAAGGATCACACAACCATAGAGAAAATTATATTTAAAATGATTACATTTACACAAGTTGTATGAACACAAAACTCATAAATCAATCTTTCAAAGCTAACAGACTAGCATCAGAAAACATGTCATCCACATTGGAGCAGATTCCTCTGGTGCTGACCTAGTCTCATTTCAGCCACGGGTGTGGGTGCAGTTTTGTATAACCTCAGACTCACTTCAGAGGACCAGTATTCTATCACATGCATGTCTTTCCACACTCTACCTTAGGCATCCAGAAGTGCAAAAGAGTTAACATTCCCAAGGCAAATCTAATCCAATGGGGGCGAGGGCTGGTAAATAATGCCCATCTCCCCAATATTTCAGCTGGGTAATACTAAATAGCATTCTGGTATGTTTCTCTAGATTTCATCAAAATCAGTGTCGTCCCCCGCCCCTTTGCCTAGAGCAGCTACCTCAATGTTGCACTCTTATAATAGCATTCCCTTTTCCCATCTCACATGCCCTGTTCCCTCCTGCTTCTTGGAATCATTCCTCCCCACTAAAACAAACAAACAAACAAACAAACAAACAAACAAAAAAACAAGCACCCAACTCCTTACAAAGCCCAGGCTTTGCTTGTAGACAAACTCAACACATCTGAAGCAAATTAAATCAAATCAATAGCAAAATATAGACTTTAAAAGCATACCTGCTTCAGTACAAACGTTTCTCAGGTCTGCTCCATTAAAACCATCTGAAAGCTTCACAATTGCTTCATAATCTGGTTAGAAAAAAGCACTGGAAATTAATTTTTTAAAAAAGATCTGTTTTTGATTTATGCTCGTAAATGGAAAATTTAAACTGAAGAGCCTACTTTGAATATGATCAGCGAGGCATTATCTCTGTTAACATTACACAATACTAACAACCAAAAACTAAATTCTGTTAAGTAAACCAACACCTAGAAGAAATAAACATACTTCTGAAACTTTAAAACCAAGAAACATCCTCAATAAACATCTTAATCTGTTTTTATGCAGTGAAAGTTATACACATGTGAACTTCAGATTATCTGCCAAGATATAACTCATTAAAACTGTTACCAAATATACAATTTGAGTAAACCAAGACACCAAAATCAACTGTAGCAACAATGGAATTTAATTTCATAAGTGAAATATAAATATACCAAAAATAGAAATCAGATATAGTTTTATCATATGGAATTTTCAAATGCTAAATTAAGCACAGGTAGCTTTTCTGGCTTTTGTATAGGCTCCACGTGGTATCACATCTATGATAACAAAGGGACTATTAAGTGACTTTTCTATTCACATGACAGACTTAAAATGAAGAACTGACAGCAGTAATGGACTTGCTATGGAATAGGGAAAGAAATAAGAGTCAGCATAGACTGCTACAATATGATGGGACACCCTTTATCAGGCAATCTAGAGTATGTCAATCTCTATTAGAAATCATACAGATATCCCAGCCAACGTGGATGAACCTTCACCAACGAACCAGGCAGTCATGGTTCGATTCCCAGCTGGGGCATATGCCCAGGATGTGAGCTCAATCCCGAGTGTGGGGCATGCAGGTGCAGGCAGCCATCAATGGTTCTCTCTCATCATTGAAGTTTCTCTCTCTCTCTCTCCCCCTTCCTCTCTGAAACCAATAAAAAGAAAAGAAATAAATCATATAGATAATTCACTAATTAGTTCAATCAGGCCCAAATTATAAACTTCCTGAAAATAGTGATTTCCTAGCAAGAGCTCAATATCGGAAGAAACCTATAAATTGATATTTTTAGTTCAGTTCATCTTTACAGCTTGAAATTCTTTCATATGAGCAATGAAAAAATTAAGAGGCAGTAATCAATTATTTGTAATTATTCTGGACCATTAATTTCTAAAGGGCTTTTAGTATAATTACTAGATTTCCATAGTCAGGGGTCAACATACTTTCTGTAATGAGCCAGATAATAAATATTTTTTAGGCTTTGCAGGCCATATGGTCTCTGTCAAAACTACTCATTTCTGCCCTGGCTGGGTGGTTCAGTTGGATGGAGATCATCCATACTCCAAAAGGTAATGGATTCGATTCCCAGTCAGGGCATATAACTGGGTTGCAGGATTGATCCCCAATCAGAGGCAACCCATTGATGTTTCACACATTGATATTTCTCTCTCTCTCATCCTCTCTCTAAAAATCAAAAGCATATCCTTGGGTGAGGATTAAAGAAAGAAAAAACAACTACTAATTTCTTCTATTACTGTGGGAAAGCAATCATAGACAAAATACAGATAAATGATTGTGTTATAAATTTACAAATTAATTTTGTTATTCTACAAAAACAGAAGGCAGAAAGAATTTGGCCCATAAGCCATGGTTTGCTGGCCTCTACCCTAGTCTAGTCTCTCAAATCTATAGAAAACTATTTTATAATTTGTCCTCTGTTCTCAAATCTCTAACTCCTATCCAATCTTCACTCTGAACTTCCTATTTCATTTAGAAAATAAAAGCATTCAGAACAAAAATTCTACAAGTTCCTGCCATATTTGAGAACCTGTCATCTCAGCATCTATAATATTCTGCCTTTCCTCCTATTCTTATAAATGAAGTCTATATCCATAGACAGTGCCAACTCCTCTTCAAGGAAACTGCACTATTTCTTGTTTTCCCAGATCCCATCAGCACAAAAATTAAATTCTCGTATCTTAAAAGAAAATGCCCCAAATCCTCATCTCCATTTCTGAAATAGCTCTACTTCTCTTATCCCCTTTCCTATAGATCTCCTTGAAAGAAATGTCTACACTCAATGTCATTCCTCCCAATATCTCTGAAACCCCATCTGAAGTAGGCTTTCATTCCCAATTCCCACTATCCCAACGAAACTGCTTTTCATAAGGTCACCAATGATCTCCAAAAATCCAAAGGTCCATTCTCAGAACTCTTCTTATCTAACCCACTGACAGGGAATTAATCGCTCCTTTTAACCATTCATTCATCTTTAGGACACCACCAGCTTCTGGTTCTACTCCTGCCTCTGGGACACCTTTGTCATCTCCTTTAATGGTTCTGCATCTCAACTTCCTAATGTCAGAATTAGCTCAGTTTTTGAGGCTCTTCTCTATCCACATTCACTTCCTCAGAAATCTGATCTCAAGATTTAACAATCATTTTTATGCTATTATTCTCATTTGTATCTCCAGCACAGACCACCCCCAAAGAACTATTGATGCATATAGAATTACTAATCAATATCTTTATTTGGATATCAAATAGGCATCTCAAATTTAATATACCCAGAATTAAATTCATACTCCCCTTAAAACCTAATCTTTCCTGTCTTCCCCTATTTTTATTGATGTTAACTTCAATATTTCAGTTATATGAGTAAAAAACCTAGGTCTTCCCTGGTTCTTCCCTTTAGTTCATACCCCACCATCCAGTTCATTACCAAATTCTGTCACCTCTATTTTAAAAATATATCCAAAGAAGGTAAGGTAAAAATACATCCAAAGAGGTTACAGATAAAACAGTTAATCTGTAAAGGGTTAATAATTATTGAGGCTGGGGGATGAGTACCTAGGATTAGAAGTTCATTATACTCTTATCTCTACTTTGGTGTATTTCTAATTTTCTACAATAAAAAGTAAAAAAATAACAAAGTGAAATCATTCCCTTACAATCCCCCAATGGCATCCATATCTTCACAAATAAAATTCAAAGTTCCCACAGGATTGCATCAATTGGGTTCTACACAATATGGACCCTATTACTTGTATGATTTCACTTACTACTGAAGTCCCATTTATTCTGCCACAGACACTTTGGCCTCTTTGCTGCCCCTAGAATGTTCCAGACATATATCTGCTTTAAAGTCTTCTTAATTGCTACTCCCTCTGCATGATTTCCCCCCAAATATTCCTATCCAGCTCCTTCATCTTTGCAGGTCACTGCTTAAAAATCAACCTTTTGCCAAAACCAGTTTGGCTCTGCGGTAGAGCATCGGTCTGCGGACTGTAAGGTCCCAGGTTTGATTCCGGTCAAGGGCATGTACATTGGTTGCGGGCATATCCCAGTAGGGGGTGTGCAAGAGGCAGCTGGTCGATGTTTCTCTCTCATCGACGTTTCTAGCTCTCTATCCCTCTCCCTTCCTCTCTGTAAGAAAAATCAATAAAATATATATTAAAAAAAAAAAAAAATCAACCTTTTGGTAAGGCCTCCCCCATCCCCACTTCCATTTAAACACACACACACACACACACACACACACACACACACACACACACACACACTCTCCTGCTCCTGGCATTAGTCTCCTTTTCTTGCTGTGTTTTTTTTCTCCATAGAACTTATCACCATCTAATATACTACATATTTTATCCACTTTGTCGTTCCTGACAAAAATATAAGTTCTACAAAGGCACAAATTTGTCAGTTTTATTCACAGCTATATCCCCAGCACTTAAAACAATTCCTAACATACAGTAAATGGTCAATAAATATTAGCCAAAAAGATCACTATGTTTGCTAAATTTAAAACTAGATCCAAAAGCCTACCAATGATATACAATAGCATTTTGCTTCATTTACCAAATGTAAATATATATACATATATATAAATAGGTTATTTTCTTACCTATTTCACCATGCTTTGTAATGGGACCTGCATGGATTTTCAATATATCTAGTCTTGCTTGTTCATTTGGTAAGTCAATATCTGAAAATAAGAAATTTTAAGAAATTCTTTTGCAGTTAAGTTTTGCTTGTTTTTATTTTTAAATAAAGTAGGGCTTGAGGAAGAATAATAAAAAGAGAAATGCCCTAGTTGGTTTGGCTCAGTGGATATGTTTGGCTCAGTGGATAGAGCGTTGGTTTGTGGACTGAAAGGTTCCAGGTTAGATTCCAGCCAACAGCACATGCCTGGGTTGCAGGCTTCATTCCCAGTAAGAATGTACAGGAGGCAGCCAATCAATGATTCTCTCTTATCACTGACTGATGTTTCTATCTCTCTCCCCCTCTTCCTTCCTCTCTGAAATCAATAAAAACATATATATAAAAAAAGGAAGAAAGAGAACTGAACATAGACAAAGGGAAATGGACAGCAAGTAAAGAGCCTTAACTCACGTATTTTTCTATCTAATCTTCCTGGACGAAGCAAAGCAGGATCCAGTGTATCTGGTCTGTTTGTAGCCATGATCATTTTAACTCTATGTAGAGTATCAAATCCATCCATTTGATTCAGTAACTAAGAATATATTTATAAATAAAAATTATAGACAGATTTTACAAAACATTCCAATCATTAAAAAATATACAGGCACAACTTTTATATGCCTAATACCATGGAATGTATTGCCTACAGATTACCTTAGAAATCATCATTTTATGAACCTAATTTTTTTCTCTCTTATATTACAAAATATATTTTCTATCCTCAAAGTTTCAAGATTATTTCACTATAGCTATAATATTTATAGTTTTACTAATTATGAACAAAATTATGTGGATTTGATTCACTTACCGTAGTTACTTTTAAAAATAAAAACTAATTCATAAAATCTAACATATAAAGTGCTTATGGTATGTCTGACAAAATTTACATTAGGACAACTGGATATAATGATTATTCTACAAATCTGATAATAAATTCATTAAATATCTTTTCAAATAACTCTACTATAGATAGAAATATGAGACACTACACATTTTTTCTTTGATTCCTAAAGTTTTCCTGAATAAATGTTGAAAACCTAACTGCAGTCAACAAACTTTTTAAAATACAGCTAGCCCCAGATGTTTATTTCTTTCACAAAATACGTTAGCTAACAAAGAAATTTAATGAACAAAACTAGTATCAGTGTTGCCGGAACCAGTTTGGCTCAGTGGATAGAGTGTCAGTCTGCGGACTGAAAGGTCCCAGGTTCAATTCCGGTCAAGGGCATGTACCTTGATTGCGGGCACATCCCGTTGGGGAGTGTGCAGGAGGCAGCTGGTTGATATTTCTCTCTCATCGATGTTTCTAGCTTTCTTTCCCCCTCTCTTCCTCTCTGTAAAAAATCAATAAAAAAATAAAATAAAATAAAATAAAAACTAGTATCAGTGTTGTTTTAAAATACCTCAATTTCAGGTTTCTAAGAAACTCTATAATTTTAAAATAGTTTATCTTGTGAGCAAATGAGTTCCTATGCTATCTAGCTTCTATTTGTAGAAGTGGGAAATGTATTTAGAATTATGCTACCACTTTCAGTTTTTGAGTGGAGAAAGGCTTTATGATACCTTCTAATATCCCATTATCCATCTTCTTCAATTAATAAAATTTCCTCTCATTCTCAGCAATATAATGAGGAAAATATTAGTGATTTTTAGAGCAGCCTCATACATAATCGTAACTCATTTATTGCCACCAGTTTCACTAAGTCCATTGATATAAAATGTCTTAATAAACTAATATAAGATCACTTTCACAAAACTAGTACAATATACAATTTAAATTATCTAAATGGCACAGAACAGTATATCTGTACATCAAATGGGCATTTTGTAGATACCTTTCTTATTTTCCAGTAGTTATTTTCTTACTATAGATATATGTGGAGAAATGTGTTTACTCCTGGCAGTATTTTCAAATTTCATACTTAAGTATATTCTTCATTTAAATTGTACATATTTGACCTTCAATTATCCAATGTTCACTTTTTTATTCAATAAACACTTACTTCTTTATAAAATCCCTTTACCAAATATTACCTCCATTAAAGTTCTCTGAATCTCTCTATCAGCTGAAGTCCCCTCGGAAAACCGACGACCACCTAAAAAAATGACGTGGAATTTCATATGCATTACTCTTTTCTTTTATAAACATCATTTAAGACAGAATATGACTATGGGGTTAAAACCATTCAGGTGAAAATTAAGTGGTAAGAATTATACTGACAAAGTCAATGATTTTAGTATAACATTTCTTATTTTTCAATGTCAAAGGTTATGCATTAAAATTGGCTAAACTTTAGGAATTTTAAAAAGATAACATCCAATTCATTTTGTTACTTCATAGAAGTTTCAATGAAAGGCAAGAGAAAAAAGTTCTTTTAGATTAAAAAAAAATTTCCTAACAATTTCAAGAAAAGTTTAAAATAAATTTTTAAAGATGTAATTCTTGCATTAACTGGGTGGCTCAGGTGGTTGGAGCGTCATCCTGGACACCGAAAGATGACAGGTTCGATTTCCAGTCCAGGAGCAAACAGGAGGCAACCGATTGGTGTTAATATAGATATCTCCCTTCCTCTCCCTTCTTCGGACGAGGATAAAAAGAAAAAAAAAAGTTACTCTTACCAATAGCATCTATTTCATCCATAAAAATGATGCATGGCTGATGGTCTCTGGCATAATTAAACATTTCTCTGATCAGACGAGCACTTTCACCAATGTACTTGTCTACAATAGAACTAGATACAACCTGATTAAAGAAAAAACATTAAGATAAACATAAGTTAATTCAAAGAAAATTTAATTTCAACATCTACAAAAAAGGGTCTTTCCTTTACCTTTAAGAAATTGCAGTCTAGCTGGCTAGCAACAGCTCGTGCCAACAGTGTTTTTCCTGTACCTAGGAATGGCAAAAGAAGTTTTAATTAGATGGAAAGTAAAACAAACTTTCAAAAGCCTTTATTAAGAACGTAATCCTTTGCCAAAACCGGTTTGGCTCAGTGGATAGAGCCTCGGCCTGCGGACTCAAAGGTCCCAGGTTCGATTCCGGTCAAGGCCATGTACCTTGGTTGCGGGCACATCCCCAGTGGGGGGTGTGCAAGAGGCAGCTGATCGATGTTGCTTTCTCATCGATATTTCTAACTCTCTATCCTCCCTTCCTCTCTGTAAAAAAATTAAAAAAAAAAAAAAGAACATAATCCTTTGAATAGTAAATGCTGCAAAATGGAAGCTAAATCCTAAACAGAATTTCCAGTGAAAATTCCATAATATTTCTACTTTCAATATTAAAATCTTTAATTTTATTAAAAATATCTCCTCTCATGACTGAACATAAACTGTGCACCTATGGATGAGGACAATGGGGATGGGGAAAGGGCAGAGGGTGAGGAAGGAACCTGGTGGAGGAGAGCAATGGTGGTGGTGGGGGGTAAGGAACATTTGTAATAATATGAACAATAAAAATTTATTTTAAAAAAATTAAATAAATAAATAAATAAATAAATAAATAAAAAATATCTCCTCTAATTTTATTTTAAGCACACCGAATAACTTTAGAAATGTCAGCCCTTGGCTGGTAACTCAGTGGTTAAGAGTATTGGCCTGCAGCCAGCAGCCTGACAGGTTGTAGATTCAATTCTGGTCAAGGAACGTACCTCAGTTGCAAGCTTGATCCCCAGGCCAGTTGGGGTTGGGATGGATGTGGGAGGCAACCAGTCACTGTGCCCTCTCACATTGATGTTTCTCTCAGTCTCTCTGTTTCATTTCCACTCTCTAAAAAATGTACATATATCAATGGAATAAATATCAGTGAGTGAGGATTAAAAAAAAAAAAACTATATTAAACCCTATTTACAGATTACAATAAGAACTTGTTACATTAAAACACATTGGTCTATTCTGCACACAAAATGGATCTTTAACCCATGTATTGTATATCAAGTATTGATTATTTAGAAACTATTCATTCAGTGAGCTATGAAAATCTCCAAAATGTTGATATTTTTCATTATACATACTAAAAAGATCACATTTGTTAATATCATCACCAATTTCATCCTTTTAAGTATGTAGTAGAAAGTTGTTAAGCTCATAATGCCATATATATATATGGTTTTAAAACTCGAATTTTTCCTTGAAAGGTTAAGTTTCATCACTGGCTACAAATGGTGTCAGTTATTTTCCTTATGACCAGCAAACTTCATTTACTTTTGAAAAGCATGTGCCAGATAACCAATAATCAGCCTGAATAACCAATAACTACAGACCATCTAAAAATTATCCTTTCAGCTAATTCAGCTAGCAACTCAAATAATTGCACAAGACATTAACTATTAACTATCCTATTCAATATGCAGAAGTACTTTATATGTATTTCCCATTTCATCACACAGAATAAAGATATCATTCAAGTATCAAGATCTAATAACAGTAATTTTTACTACTTCACCTCGGACATTTTAAAGTGAAACTGGCATTTTAATACTGCGAGTGTGAACAGTCAAAAACAGAGTGACTACCAGCACCATTTTGTGCCACTGACTTGACTGAATCATGCTACGACAAGAGCAGTTTTACCTCTTGCAATTACACCATCAGCACAGACACCAACACAGAAAAAGGCAACTAAGATCTAGGCATTATGAAACTAAGTTTTCACCTTGCAGATTTCCTACAAGTGTCTCAGGGACACCCAGAGGTCTGTGAACCATATAGGACTATACATTAGAATTATAGGGCATGTTAAGAACCACACAGGTCTATTAATGTGTGGTGTTTTTTCAATAAGTACCAGTACTGTTTTCAGTTGCAGTTGGGAATCTGCACACGTGGAGGGCCAACTATATGTGTTGATCTATGCCATTCTATGTAAGGGACTTGAGCATCTGCACATTTCGATGTCCCTGTGGGTCCTAAAACCAAAGCCTGAGGATACCAAGGGATTTGGGGGAGTCATAAGTTATATGCAGATTTTTGACTGTGTGTGGGGGAGGAAAGGGGCAGGGTTGGGGGGGTTAGTGCCTCCAATACCATGTTGCCAACTTATTTATTCCTTGATTCATTCATTAGTGGAGTGGACATAATTCATACCAACCTGGTGGTCCATATAGCAAACAGCCTTTTGGAGGTATTATTCCTACACGCTGGAATAATTCTGGGTTTGTAAGAGGTAATTCTATCACCTAGAAAAGAAGTTGCATGTTTCTTAAACATTGGTAAAGATTTTGATGTACTTTCAAAGAGTTTAAGTAAAATATCAGTGTAGTTAGATATCATAATTCATAATAAAACTAGAATCCCATGTTATGTAAAACTATTTAGTTTTTTCTTAGATAGCTCTTACATCTAAAAAATGTTAAATATTTTTAAATTCATTAATTAAAAAGTGTGTGGTTAGTTTAACAAACCACACACTTGACTAGAGTGATGGTTATATAGGTATATAATCTGTCCAAACACATTTGAACTGTTCACTTTAAATCTATGATTTTTTTAATACTCATCCGAGGATATTTTTCCATTGATTTTTAGAGGGAGTAGAAGAGAAAGGGAAAGACAAAGAGAAATATCTATGTGCGAGAAACACATCAATTGGTTACCTCCTGCATGAGTCCTGACCAGGGACCAGGCCTGGGAAGAGCCTGCAACCGAGTTACATGCCCTTGACTGGAATCAAACCCAGAACCCTTTGGTCTGCAGGTTGATGTTCTATTCACTGAGCCAAACCAGATAGGGCTAAATCTCTGCATTTTATTTAATGTAAATTATGCCTCAATGAAAAAAAAAAATTCCACTATAAAAACAATCAATTAAGCATCAAAATAAAAAACATATACTGTTTTGTATTTGGGAATACAATCCTATATAATAAAAGCCTAATATGCAAATTATCCCCTCAACTGGGAGTTTGATGGGGAGTTTGACCAGGGGGCAGGGGCAGCAGCCTGCCGAGGGGAAGGGAGGTTCCAGCTTCCAGGAACCCTACCTGTACATGAATTTCTTGCACTGGGCTCCTAGTACAAAATAATTCTAAAATGGGGAATTTGGTAAATTATAACTGTCATTAAGTAAAAAAGTACATAAAACTTTCATATTTTGGCATTTTTGTCATAGCAACTTTAAAAGAACCAAGTATTTTGTTTCCAAGAATCTACTAAGACCGATTCAAGGAGAAAAAAAAGGGGGGAGAATAGAAAAACTGAGCATTTGCCTGCCCAATTTAATCTCTCTACAGAATTAGTAACTTGAGAGATAAACATCTATTGAATAGTTGTGTCTATAAGGTACGATTAAGACAAGCTAGCAGTGTGAGAAATCAGTATTCTGAGGTGTATGTAGATGGAAAAGGTATTGCATATGCATATGGTTGGGGTGTGTGAGAAATAGGAGGGATTCTATCTGCCTGCTGCAGCAAATCACTATAAAAGATAAGATTTCATTGCTCTATGAAGCATTTTTTTCCTGTTGACCTTTCATTAACTACAAAGTGAGAAAAACAGGCTCTAATTAACACTCAGGGCAATGCTTCCTCAACTATGGTCAAAACACAATTTGGTTACCTAATTATCTGGAATGCTTGTTTAAATGCTAATTTCTTGTCCCACTCCCAACCTACTATATCAGAACCAAACTGAGGGCCTACCAACCTGATTTTAATAAGAGTTCTAGAAAATTTAATATATTAACCTCTGAAAACTACTGGCTTAGGGTTTAAATCAGATGATGTACATCATTCCAAGTACCGTATTTTTGTGTATAAGATGCTATTTTTTTCCAAAATCGTTAGACTGAAAATCGAGGGGCATCTTATACACGGAAGTCAGCTGAGGAGGGAACCACTCATACCGTCAAACAGGCTTCCTTCAATCACAGGCCTTATTGTTACTGACATCGGCTGATACTGTAATTGGAGGTGGAGGTGGAGAGTGTGCAGATGCAACAGGGACCTGAGCATTCTGAGCCCATAAAGATGTCAAAAATAAAAAGATAAATACCAGAAGTGATTGTCTTACTCTGCAAAATTCAAACTGAATGTAATCAGCTATGCAAAAGAGCATGGAAATAGAGCTGCAGAGAGACCATCTGGACCTCCTCCCACTGAGTGTATGATCAGACAGTGGAGAAAACAGGAAGAACAATTCTATAAAGAAGGCCTTACGAGGAAAACCAGCAAAATGGGCAAACTTGGAGCAGAGGTTTAAGACTTGGATTATGGAGCAGTGCCAGAGTGGCTTATGTGTGTCCACCAAGCTTATTCAATATCAGGCAAGAATGTTTGCAAGTGAAATGAACATTGTTGATTTTACAGGAAAGGCAAAATGGTGCTTCAATTTCATGAGGAGAGAAGGGTTGGCCATGAGAACATGAACAAAGTTAGCTCAGAAAATGCCACCAGTTTATGAGAATGGTCTCATTTATAGACAGTGACTCAGAAGACAGCAGTGATATAGTCGAAGTAAAAGACATTGATATGTCTGAAACTAACAGTGGTGAAGAAGAGAGCAGCAATGCAACAGAGGCTGAATAAAGTGATATGCTGCACAATACAGTACTGTATGTAAACATTACCTGTAGTAATTATTAAATAAAAACGCATTCTGTTTTATGTTTAAGATATTGATTTCTTAATTTTGGTTTGGAAAACTGGGGGGCACCTTATACATGGGGGCTTCTTACACATGGAGGTGTCTTATACACAGAAAACTTCCATACTAAATTAGGTTGAAATAAATAGAAGAATCAATTTGCTTTAAAGAGAATTGTTAAGAAGCCTCCTCTGCTATGAAGCAAGGCAATCTTGATTAGATTCTTCAACTAAGAGCTTAAAGGTTTAAGCTACCTTAAAGCCAGTATTTTTCTTAAACAGCAGTAAACAGCTTTACTACAAGAAAACATTTAGGGCACAGGTAACTTACTCTACTATAAGGGTGGGAAGCTAACAATAATAAGGGTATGGGAAAAACTATAGTACACATTATTTAGATGTGTTCTGACCCAAATAACCTACTACGATAATCAAAGTCACAGAAGGCATGAGCATTGAATTATATCAATTACTAGAGGTCTGGTGCACGAAATCCATTAACGCATAGGGTCCCTAGGCCTGGCTGGCAATCAGGACCAATCAGGGCCTTCTGGCTGGCTCCTGGCTGGGACCTTCCTTCCTTCCATGCATCGCCCCCCCAACCACGTGGTCAGTGAGCACCATAGCAAGCAATCGAACTCCCGAGGGATACTTTGAATATTAGCTTTATATATATATATATATATTGTTATTTTTAATGAAATAAAAAGATAGATTATTTTTATTAAAGATAGAAAGATTCTTAGTCAAAAAGAGCAGGATTTTTCTAACACCAAATTATCTCCACATTAACAAACAAAATTTTCACAGCTAGAAATTCAGTATTGTTCTTCTCAACAAGAATATTAAATGTATAATATTCAGTAACCACTATTTGATCACAGTAAATTTTCATCCTTTTTCTCCCTTCAGGAATCTCAAAACCAATATTATTTATTATTAAATTCAAGAACCAAAGCATACACTACCAACCTCTCTTAATTCCCGAATCTGTTCTGATAGCCCTCCAATCTCAGAATAGGACACATTCCCAGGGTCTTCATGAGACATGTTGTAAACCAATGGATCCACCTCTCTTGGCAAATACCTGTAATGACAAGGTATGCATTTTCTTTTTAAAATGAATTTTTTTCTCAACCTACAGATAGAATATAAATGATGCAAGCACATGTTGGTGATTGTATTTTAAAATATTTAAACTAATTAGGAATTAGTAAAAGGGAAGAAGTGGTAAAATATTCAGTGATCTCTAAAAACATATTTTCTCTCTGTGAAAATAAACTAAATAGAATTGGAAACTTACCTCATGATGGTTAGTGTAGTCATATCCAAAGCAACTCTTGTTCCTGGCTTCAGCTTACTTTTGTCAAGCTAATTTTGTGAAACAAAAGGAGTCAAACACTTAAAAAGGGGAGAATATCTAGAAGCCAAATAATCATTTTTTATCCTGCAGAACTGTAATATTAGATCATTAGCACCATGCCATCAGAAGGCTATAAACATTATAATTCAGTTATTTCCATCTGCCCCTTTTGTGCAATCTCAGCATGATATGTGAAATCACTAATACACAAAGTTTGAGATGTAAATGACCTTGTTTTTAAAGAAGAAATGGCCTTTAGTATTTTACTTTCAAAGGCCCATTAATAGTAGTTCTACTCATGCGCACTCAGTTCTACTCATGCGCACTCAGGCACTGTAGTACAGTGACTTCAACAATTGCTACCAAGGCATTTATACAGAAATCTATTAAGTGAACACTTTGGGAGAAGGCAAGTGGTGTGCCCATTGGATTTATTTTAAAAACTATACCTTTGGGGAAGCATGTGTTACTTGATCATAGGAGATAAGGGGGAAATGCATTGTTCCCCCTTTAGACATTTTTAGTAAACTATTAAAAACAAAATAGCCACCATTATTTCATGGCTTTGTTCTATGCCAGACACTATGCTAACTGTATTATACTAGAATGAGCTATACTAAACTATTGGTATATTTGGACAGAGTAAACTTATTTGGCTAGAATTGGGTAGTATCTATCCAATAGGTCCGACCTCACATTCAGTTACTTTTCATAAATAAAGTTACTTTTTAAAAAAAAAAAAAGTGTTTTTATTGGTTTCACAGAGGAAAGGAGAGGGAAAGATAGAAACATCAATGATGAGAGAGAATCACCGATCAGCTGCTTTCTGCACACCCCACACTGAGAATGGAGCCCACCATTGAAGCATGTACCTTGACTGGGAATTGTTCATAGGTCAACGCTCACCAGCCAGTTACCTTTTCATAGATTAAAAAACTTCTTGCCAATACAATTTCAGAATCATACAAATTACTGACTACTTACCACAGAATTTTGCAAAGAGCTCTAAGGTTAGGATTTAATATCAATTACAATAAAGTAGAAGCAGGCAAAATACTAGGTTTAATATATAGATTAAACTGAAAAAAATTGCAAGTGTGGTACCTTAAAAACAGCTAAAATGAGATCAATGTGAAGCTATTTCAACATTAACATCTATAAGAAATATATACTCTTGTCTTTTCTAATATTTTCCTGTTTTCAAGTACTCTCTTGCCCTCATAAAACCAAGAGATATCTTTGAAATGCCAACTTTTTTCTTAGTTTATGTTTTTATTGATTTTTTAGAGAGAGGAAGGGAAAGGAAGAAACATCGATGTGAGACAGAAAAACACTGACTGGCTGCCTCTCCTGTACACCCCCTACTGGGGATAGAGCCCACAACCCAGGCATGTGCCCTGACTAGGAATCAAACTGGTGACTTCTTGCAAGGCCCATGGCATTTAACCGAGCCATACTTGCTAGGGCAGAAATGCCAACTTTTGGCATCCAGAGGGCCCTGAAAAGAACACAATCCTCTGTCAGACTAGGCATCTAATATTTTTTATTTGGAAAATATCATTCCATTTACATGTTATACAAAATTCTCAGATTAGAGTAAGTCCCTGGGTTAAATTCCATTCCACAGCCATGTTATATCAATGTTTATAAAAACTCGATATAATACTCAGAGAAAGAACTTACAAGTACTAGTATGCTCTAAGGATACTTTGAATATATTTTTTGATTTTTTTACAGAGAGGAAGGGAGAGAGAGATAAAGAGCTAAAAACGTCGATACATCGACCAGCTGCCTCTTGCATACCCCCTACCGGGGATGTGCCCGCAACCAATGTACATGCCCTTGACCGGAATCGAACCTGGGACCTTTCAGTCCGCAGACCGATGCTCTACCACTGAGCCAAACCGGTTTCAGCTCTAAGGATACTTTGTAGACAATAGGGCAGTGGTCGGCAAACTCATTAATCAACAGAGCCAAATATCAAAAGTAAGATGATTGAAATTTCTTTTGAGAGTCAAATTTTTTAAACTTAAACTTCTTCTAATACCATTTCTTCAAAATAGGCTTGCCCAGGCCGTGGTCTTTTGTGGAAGAGCCACACTCAAGGGGCCAAAGAGCCGCATGTGGCTCGAGAGCTGCAGTTTGCCGATCACTGGAATAGGGAATACATGAATTGGATTCAGAGGCTATTATGGTTCAAAACCATTTGTTGGCATTTTTGATAACTGCAAAATAAAATGTGGAATTATTTCAATTTGCCTATTCTAATCTAAATGAACTCACACAAAATAAATTTAAGCTGTAGTACGATCTATAAATAACATTAATATTTAAATATAAAACAGGTAATTGACAGGACCTAATCCTCTTAAATTCCTTTCAAAAAATATATTAAAATAAAACTACCTGAGCTATATCTAATTCTAAAAGTCTCAGATTTCTGCCTGGCCAGTGCGAGTAAGTGGTTGAGCATCAACCCATGAACCATGAGGTCACCGTTTGATTTCTGGTCAGGGCACATGCCCAGGTTGCAGGCCTGAACCCCAGTTGGGGGTGAGCAGGAGACAGCCGATGGTTGTTTCCATCTCACAGATGTGTGTGTGTGTGTCTCTCTCTCCATTCCTCTCTAAAATCAATAAAAATATATTTTAAAAATAAAAATAAAAGTCTTTGATTTCTGAATGTGTAGAGCTGACTGAGGCAACTAAGTACAGTAGAAAGTAGAGAATACCAGGAGTCAAAGCCCATGGTTTTAGTTTATAGGCTTTGCTAACAATTTGTTATATCTTAACAAATCACTTTTGGGAGTTATGGGCATAATACCTGACCTGCTTACCTCAAGAATTAAATAACTTTTATAAATGCACCTTGGCCAATTATAAAGCATATACAAATTTATTTATTTTTTTAATATATTTTATTGATTTTTGTACAGAGAGAAAGGGAGAGAGATAGCGAGTCAGAAATATCGATAAGAGAGAGTCATCCATCAGCTGCCTATGCCCGCAACCAAGGTACATGCCCTTGACTGGAATCGAACCCGGGACCCTTCAGTCCCCAAGCCGACGCTCTATCCACTGAGCCAAACCGGACTCGGCAGCATATACAAATTTAAAATGTTACCTGTCGACGACAACCCACAACATATCTTGGTCCATTTGTAGCTTTAACAATGACTAGAGAAAAGGAAATGAAAGAAAACATTTAAAAATAGCAAGTAACGTGAAATATAACCACATTGACGGCAGGCTGAGTCTTATTTTTGTCCTCCGAGAAGACAATACATAGTTGAAAAAAAAAAATTAAGTCTATGCTAGAATAGCATCTACCTTCACTATTGTGACTCTTAAGCATTTATAAGCATTTCAAAAGTTGGTGGTGAGGCATTGTAAGTAACTTACTAAGTAACAGTGTAATCCACTTACATTTTTCTTCAGTTAACTGCTTAAGTACTTCACCCACAATCTGAGAAAGAAAAAAGAAAGCATTATCTTTTGCCGACAGCTTAAAAACAAAGCAATCATCACCCCTTACACCCCAAAAAACGCCATTACCTACCTGCCCAACACTCTGTAGGGCCTTCAGATCATTTTCAGACTTTTCATACTGCTTGGTGAGTTCTTTTAATTGTTCCCTTACTGAAATAATATAATTTGAACATTTTTAATTAAACAATAATCTCGGTGGTTCAAGTTGCTAAGCCTCACTTACGTTTATTTGTCTATCTCATGTTACACATATTTTATGTCCAGTATATCGAAGTACAAAAGGAATAACGCTGCTTATAGGTGACACGTTTAAAAATGACATGTTACGGAGAAAGCATCATTGGTTTTTGGATCGGCAATACTCAGTTGGTTAAGCACATTTTAGGCTGCACTCTTGCAGAGGTTGACACTGTGACAACTTCCGGATTGGCCACTACTAATCCAAACGGTAACAAGGTAGACCCTTCCTCACCTCTTCACCTCCTCGCATGGATTATTATGATTGCTCTCGGGCTTTCTTGCCTTAAAGAAGGGCAACAGGTCTGGTGCTCGCAGAAGAACATGGTTATGAGCTTCATGTAATTAATTTCATGAAGGTGCACTAATAAAACACGACAAGTGTCCTTTACGGGAAACTTGTGTGCCCGGCGGAGTACAAATCGCAAAGAACGAGGAGGGTTACTATGACGGGCGGCCGCCCTCCCTCCCTCTCAGGCTCCTGGCCCAGCTTTCCACTCCACTAACAAACAGATCAGCTCCCCGAGGGCGCCACGTCTTGCTGGAGCAGCAAGTACCTGACCCCCATCTCTCCTTCTCGGATGAGATGGGGATGCTGCCCACCCTGCCCACCCTGCACGCCCCCTGGGCAGCATCCCCGGATGGCCCCCTTCCCCGGCCCCTCGGGTCCTCCCGCACTCCATCCCAGAGCTGGGGATGCTCCGCCTGTCCCCTGGGCCGGACCGGGGCCCCTCCACGCCCGCCGAGGAGGCTCTGCTCCCCGACCTCGGGGCGCGATGACAAAGCGCCTTGTCCCGGGACTGCGGCCTGCCCGGCGCCTGGGCCGGGGGCCGGGCCCCGCCAGAGGCCTCCGCCGCGCCGGGGACGGAGCCGGCCAGCCGAGGCCGCGCGGAGAGAGAGGCGCACTCACACTCCTTGAGGCGGCCGTCGATCTCCTTGTGCTCCAGCAGCTTCTTGCGGTAGTCCTGCAGCGCCTTATCTCTAGGGTCCGCCATGATGAGAAGCCGCCGCTCATAGGGGATGCCGGGAAGGGCCATGGCCGCCCGGGCGGGGGTGGGGGCGGGGCGAGCGGGGGGACAGCCTCCCTGGGAGGGCGGGGTTTCGTGCTCAGCCACGCCCCCTTTCTGTTGGCCCCGCCTCTCTGCCCCATCCCTCCTTTCTAGGACTTAGGCGTGCACTGAAAGAGGCCTCCGACCGCACCTCCCCCTGCTGGTCGGGATGGGTAAAGCAGGGTGCTGTTATTCTGGTCATTCCAAGAGACCTCGCTATATTATTCTGAAATCACTTTGGCTGTCCTGGAACCACAAAAAGGCTTTGTGATAAACTGAGTTCAGAATGAAGTAGGGAACGTGCAATCTTTATGTATAGTTTTTAAAAAATATATATATTTTATTGATTTTTTACAGAGAGGAAGAGATAGGGATAGAGAGCTAGAGACATAGATGAGAGAGAATCATTGATCAGCTGCCTCTTGCACACTCCCTAGTGGGGATGTGGCCGCAACCAAGGTACATGCCCTTGACCGGAATCGATCCTGGGATCTTTCAGTCCGCAGGCCGACGCTCTATTCACTGAGCCAAACCGGTTTCGGCTAAATATAGTTTTGATGGTCTATCGGTATAACACAGTCCTACTATCCAGGACCTCTAGGTGCGGAAGGAGGCTATTTCATTCATTTCTTCATTCAGTGAAAGAGGTACTAAGGGTGCACAACCTGGTGGGGAGATGAAAAAAAAAAAGTAATCTCAGAATGTAATAAATTATATACTGTAATTAACACTTTAAAAAAAAATCCTCACCGAAGGATATGCTTAGAGAGGAAGGGACACAGAGAGAAACATCAATGAGAAAGAAACATTGATCAGTTGCCTTCAGTTGCCTTCTGTGCATGCCCTGACTGGGGCACCCGTATCCCAGTATGTGCTCTGACTGGGAATCCAGCTCGGTGCACAGTACCACAGTCATCCAAACTGGCCAGGCTGTACTGGAAGTAAAACATGGTAATGTTACAGAGCAAGGCGAGGGGAACTCATTTAAAACAGATATCTGAAATAAGGACCCAGTTGCGCAACAAAGTGGAGAAGAACCTTCCAAGCAGAAGAAAGAGCAAGTGCAGAGATCCTAAGGTGAAGACGACCTTGGCTTACTTCAGAAACAGAAAGGAGGCCAAGGAGAGCGGAAAGGGGTGGGTTGTGGAGATGTGGGGCACGAGATAAAGATGCTCAAGTAAGCCAAGTCAGACATGGGAAGTCTGATAGAACTGTCAGATTTCTGTGCTTTTGGACAAATTACTTAATCTTTCGATGATCTGTAAAATGAGCATAATAATTGTACCTCTCTCTTTGGGATGCCATAGAGTGTTAAATCAGATAGAATGCCTACAGCCATTAACATGATAAGTCTGACACATAGTAAGCATTCAATAATGTTATTTTAAATTACTTATGTTAAGGGAAGTAATGACCTCAATTTTTGCAGGGTAGGTCTCTGGAACTGTACCTTTCCCAGCCTTGCTCTTGGGGAGATTTTGCTGTTGTTCCAGTAGAATCTGTCAAGGTCTCCAAATAGAGTCCATTCAATTTCATCTTATCCCCTGGCTCTGAATTTTGAGTTTCAGTAGGAATAGCTTATCTATACATATAAAGTGTAAATTTATGTGAGTTAAGTTATCAAACTCACATAAACGATGTCTTCAAATTTATTTGGAAAAGTATGTGTGTTGTGTGGATATTCTATTCTGTGTTTCTAAACATAACTGGGAATGGCAGCAGATAATAAACAAGGAAAATGAATTGAGCAGGAATAGGCCCTTCTCCCACTCAGCTGCAACTATTCTGGTCAAACGAATCCATCCACATCAAAATATAGCACCTCTGACGTCAGGAAGTAAAGAAGAGAGAATAAAGCAGAGAGGAAAAAAGACAGCATAGTTGGTTCAATTCAATAACTCTTTATGAGCACATACTAATGTGTTATTTCAACACCAATGTTTCAGACCCCTTGACCCATTTTCTCTTTCTCTCGCCCATCTGGCAAAATTCCAACTTCAGATGAGCCTGTCTACTTTCCCCATGCTGGCATCAGTACAGCCCTGCTCCTTTTTTTTTTTTTTTTTTTTTTTTTTTTTTTTTTTTTTTTATCTGTACCTGTAAGACTATCCTTCTCCACCAGAAAATGTAGCTCAATTTGTAATTATACATTCTTAAGCCTGATTAAATGGTTAGTGTCCTTTCCTTTAGTAGACTATAAATTCCAGGAACTGCAACTATTTCTTGCTCATCATTGTATCCCCAGAAGATGGTTATATAGATAAATTCCTGAAGGAATAAAGATGTGAGTATGTCAGACACCATGATAAGTAAGCAGAGATACAGAAAGACTAAGAAATGCCATCAGGACTCAAGGAACTTACAATATCACAGAGGAGAAAAGAAGAGATATGAGAAAGTAGAGCAACTTGTTTTTTTTTTTTGGGGGGGGGGTCAATAAAAGAGATGAGATAAATTTAAATCTTCAAAGAATTATTTAAAGATAGTCTCCTACTTCCCTATAATGTAGCATTGATGGATGTGTGGTTTTAAAATACGTACACAAATTTTTTGGTATTCCCTACTCTCACGCTACCCCCCCCCCCCCCAATTCGTCAAATCTAGTGCCGTGCTCACAAATAGATTACAGTGGGAGAGACAGTATGTGATTAGAGACCAGGTTATAAAAAGCATTGGGGTTCCTCTTTATTCTCCCTTGGATCATACCCTCTGTGGGAAGCCAGCTGTCCGGTGATGAAGACACACCAGCAGATCCATGGAGGGGCCCACATGGCAAGGGTCAGAATGCAAGAAACGGAGCCTGCTGCCAGCAGCCATGCGAGGGAGCCCAGCAAGCCTGTAGGTGACTGCAGCCCTGGTCCTGATTGCAACATCCTTAAGACCTGAGTCACGTAACCCGGCTCAGCTGTTTTTGAGTTGCTGGCCCACAAAAACGGTAAGCTAATACATGTTTGTTGTTTTAGGCCCTCAGTTTTGTGAGAAGTTGTTATACAGTGACAGACAACGAATGCGACAGGAATGGATATTTTCCTAGAGACAAACTGGGAAATAGTACAGACAGGCAAGTAGCAACTGCTTGTGCTCCCGCATAGCACAGCTCTCCGGTCTGTCAGAGATGGTCATCCCAAATATCCACCCCAATGCCTACCGGAGTGCACTTAACTAAATGTGTCTATGGCTAAGCAGTAAGATCTTGAGGTAGGGGATAGACCTTAGAATTTGTAGGCTTTTTGGAAATACTCTTCTTTAATCAAAGTAATAAATACACAAAGATAGTTTCTTTAAAAAAAAAAAAAAAAGTACTACAAAGTTTAGGTTATAAAAGAGGTGTCTACTGCCCCACCTTATTCTACCCCAGAGTCCCATTCCCCCAATTCTTTTTTAAAAATAAATTTTTATTGATTTTAGAGAGGAAGGAGAAGGAAAGAAGAAACATCAATGGTGAGAGAGAATTATTGATCTGCTGCCTCCTGCATGCCCCACACACATTGAAGATTAAGCCCGCAACCTGGGCATGTGCCCTGACCGGGAATTGAACCATGGTTCATAGGTTTCAACCACTGAAACCACTGAACCACACCAGCCGGGCACTATTCCCCAATCCTTTTATACGTATATTTAAAAAGTAAGAATTGGCACATGTGATTATGGATGCCGGCAAGTTCAGTATCTGCCGGGTCAGACGGCAAGCTGGAGGCCCCTGAGAGCTAATGTTCCGGTTCTAATCGGAAGGCTGCTATGCAACTAGGAATGGCTGATGCTGCAGATGATGTCCAAAGGGAACCTGCTGGAGAATTGTCTCTTGCTTGAGGCAGGCCACATTCCCTAATTCTTAAACATGTGTGTGTGTGTGTGTTTTTAAATATAATTACCTGCATATTTCTAAACAATATGCTTATGCTGCTGTTTCTTGATAGCTCAACTTGAGGATTTATCGTTTGACTTCCCATATGGAAGATAAAAATTTAGCACTCTAGATTCCCACTTTCCCTAGCTTCATCCTCCATGCATACAATATATACAAGTTTTGGTTAATACACTGTCCAACATTTTAAAATATATATATTTTATTAATTTTTTTACAGAGAGGAAAGGAGAGGAACAGAGAGTTAGAAACATCAATCAGAGAGACACTTAGATCAGCTGCCTCCTGCACACCTCCTACTGGGGATGTGCCCACAACCAAGGTACATGCCCTTGACCGGAATTGAACGTGGAACCCTTGAGTCCACAGGTCGACACTCTATCCACTGAGCCAAATCATTTAGGGCTCACTATCCAACATTTTTAAAAATAAATTTGTTTATATTTTAAATATATTGTTATTGATTTCAGAGAGGAAGGGAAATGGAGAGAGCGATAGAAACATCAATGATGAGAGAGAATAATTGATAGGCTGCCTCTTGCTGGGGATTGAGCCCTCAATCTGGGCATGACTCTTTGACTGGAATCAATCCTGGGATCCTTGATTTTATAAAAATCAAGGCCAACACTCTATCCACTGAGCCAAACCGGCTAGGGCTATCCAACATTGTCTTTTTACTTTGAGTGATGTAAGTCAAGCAATATACTAAAGCTAGATTTGCTTTATTGTAAAACTGTTCAGTACTTCTTGGAATGGAAAGCTGCCTCGTTTTAATCATGTGCTTAGTTTTGCCTGGCTGGTTAGAGCGTTGGCCGTTGGACTGGAACCCAGTCAAGGGCACATACTTCCATTGCAGGCCCTAGTCAGGGCACAAGGGGAAGGCAGCCAATCAGTGTGTCTCTCTCACATTGATGTTTCTCTCTCTGTCTCTCCCCCTCCCTTCCACTAAAAATCAATGGGAAATAGATCCTTGGATGAGGATTAGCAACAACAACAAAGATGTGCTTAGCTGGTGTTGTTTTTAATCACCTTTTCTTCCCAACTTTACAATTGTGAACGCCCTCTGAATAATGTTTTTCTGAAAGTCAGTCGGATTAGGTGTCTGGAATTGGAACACATCCAG